GGGTATCAGATCAGAAGACTCGCACCCTGACGCACGCCGCATGCAGTGTCGGGCCGACAGAGTTCGCAGGTGGGGTTGAAACGAAACGACAGGCAACAGGCACGGACACGCCGAAGCGCTCGATGGACTCTTCTTTTCACTACATGGAGTACATGTAGATGTGCTTGTTGTTGTAAACATTACATGGTTGTTCTTATAAATTTTCATTAGAAAATTTACAAGAACGAATATTATTGCGGATACTGACTTTCACAACTTTCGAAGGTAAGTCGCCCTCTTTATTGGTTAGTGACGGAAGAGGACCGATTAGAGGTTGTGTTTTGATGAAGTGTGAAAGAAATTTAGGAATGTGTTGAATTACAATGCTGAGGTGCTCTCTGTTTTCCATACTTTAAAGTACTCTGTTTTCCACATCTTTAAGTAAATTGTGGGAAAGGACAATATGAGTGACGGGGAGAAGGAACTCGGGTCTCGAATGACCCGAGTTTCTTCTGCGGAGAATCTGCGAGGTACTGTCCCAACAGAAGAGACCTTGTCCTCGCCTGTTGCTCCGACGAAGGGAGAATGTGTCGGTCTTTACAGGTGAGTTTTCAGGGATTTCTTCGGATCTTACGTTTTCTTGAATCAAACCTTTCAAATTGCGTGTAACATGTCTCAGTGATGTGCCATTACCGCATTCGCCGACGCGCGCTCCTTCTGGTTGGAGTCTGTCGCTGTCGCTCAGCAGGGCCAAGCGAGCCCTAGTTGACGAGGAACGGGAAGAAAGCAAGAAAAAGCCTCGGACGGAGCCTGAACAACAGGTGAAACCCAAACCTGCAAGGCGGGTGACGCTGGTAGATTTGCAGCAGCTTCCCAGCACCAAGAAGGTGCCACAGCATGTGAAGCCAGCGCGCACACGCCCGTCTTCAACAACATCCACACATTCATCATTGAATTCATCTGTAAGTCGGCAGTTAAAGCAGCACATGACAATAATTGACTGCCAATTTTCTATACGACCTTTACACATTTACTTTCTGTTTTGTGTGCAGGGCTCTGACTTGGAGGAGGGTGAAGTTCCTCCTAGTCCACCTAGAGGGTCTTTGCCTTCTAAAGTAGCTCTTTCATTTATCAATGATGATGAGGTTGAAGAGCTGAAACTTAAGAATGAGGCTCTGGAGCAACAAGTAAGTTCATTCGGTGCGATGCTTGAGTGTGTCAAATGACCTCAATTAATTCCCCTTCAATGGCAAGTCAAGAGATTTTATTTTCCTTTCTCTTTATTGTAATCCTGTTCTTAGGTGGCTTTCCTCAGGAAAGCTAATCAATCATTGGCGGCGCATGTATCGGATTCCAAAGATGTTTTGTACAAAGAAGAGGTAACTTCAAACTATTCCTTTCTTGTGATTTTAATTTTCTTATAAAGATTGTCTAGCTGCATTGTTTTATTACCTAGGTAAAAAAACTTAACAAAAAGGTGACCAACTCTAAAAAACGCATTACGGCTTCTGAAAACGAGTGTGCTGAGCTGAAAGCAGCTCTTAAGTCTGAGGTAAGTAGCGTCATGAGTGGCAAGTGTCTGCTTAATCAACTGATTATAAAACTAAATAGTTAAATTCGGCCAAATTTTTAAATATATTTTTTTTTGCTTTTCTAGAAAAAGAAAGCAGCTGACTTGGAACATAATGTTAAAAGTTTAGAAACCAAGCTAGAGAGGGCAAATGGAAAGGTAAGGCACTGTGTGTAAATTTCAGAAAATAATAGCCTTGTGTTTTTCACTCAATTATGAAATTTTATTGTAGATATCTGACCTGGAAAGTCAGAGAAAAACATTACGTGATGAAATTGCTGCCTTTAAAGTAAAGATTGCCAATCAGAGAGCAAATTTAACAGGCTTGGAAAATCAACTCATTAAATTTAAAAGCAACGAGAGTAAGGTACAAAAAAAAATTTCTACAAAAGAGGTATTTTAAATCCTAATTCAGAGTGTATGTATACTTATTTTGCAATTCTTTATGTTTTTGCAGGTACCATCCTTTTTTAAGGTAAAAGTATACATAATGGGTTTTAAATATACTTTATGGGTTGTGTAAATAACTTTCTTTGTTTTAATTTCAATCAACAATTTTGGTGCAGGTGCCTACTAAACCGGAAAATATTAATCCCAACAAATGCCATTGTGTGAATCATTGTCGATGTCGTGATCTGGTATGTGTAATGTGTTGGGCATGGCTATTCAAGAATTCTAATATATATTCTCTTGAACAGGCTGGTATTATAATGTGCCTGTCGGTTATTTTTGAAGGGACTCAAAGTACAAAATTTTGTTTGGATTTGTCTGTAAAAGAAAATCAAGTGCGCTCAAGAATGCAGTAATTACTGAAGACCTTTTAGCAGCAACTGTGGATACCCACCAAGAATCTTATCTTAACACTAAAAGTATGAATTTGCTAGGGTATTCAGTAACTTTTGCATACTTGCTCTGGTGTACATAGTAAAAGTTGATACTCAGTGTAACTGCATTCATGTATTTGGGTTTTTAGGGTACCAAGAGTTATGCTAACTTATTATACTCATTTTAAATCCCCTTTTTCCTCCATTTGATTATCGTTAGATGTTAGGGCTGGAGTGTGAAGTGTCAAATTTGAGGACTCGGATTAAAAATCAGACTTTTCATCTTGCTAATCTCACTGCTGCGTTTGACAAGACCAAGCTGGAAGCTTCTCGGGTAGTAAAGATGTGCCACAATTTTTTGTCCGTTATTTTGTTGATTCTTTTTTCCCTTGTTTTAATTAAATTATTAACTGTAAGTACTAATAATTCATGTGTAGGTTAAGACTTTGGAGTTGGAGTTAAAGAGGACTTTAGCTAGAGGGGATTCTGTAGAACAGAAGACCTCTAGCAAGTCTATTTCATGTCATGGTCTGAAGACAGAGGTCTCTGATAATCAAAGGGTATGACTGATCAACGGAATGGCATTCATATTCATTTCTATTTGGATTACTGTGTTTAAGTCAATTTTCTTAGTTCTAATTTTCCAGATAAAACCATGCTGTTGTATTCAAAATGTTATTTAAATTCTGTTCTCTTTTTTCTTAGGAAATCAAGAATGAGATTTGGAAACCACCTGTTATTGTCTTACAATCACCTGAAAGTAGCTCTGAAAATGACAGCTTGGGTACCCTCCTCTTTGAAAAGAAGGTGTTTAAAGTAAGTATGTTTGAAGAAACTAAATTACTAATTTGATCACCAGGTGGGGTTACATTTATTAAATGGTCTTGTCTTTTTCAGGTTATTTCGGATAATTTTATCATGGCCAAGAGTATAATGCAGAATTTTGACGAGACTGCATACACCCTGCCTGTACTTCGACCAGCCTATCGCGCCACCATTGCAGGTATTTTGAGCCAATTACAGTATTCCTTTTTCCATTGGGGTTATGCACAAAATACTGCAATTCTATGTTGTACTGTAAGTACCCAAGGTACCTTAACTGCTAGGAAAAATATTCCCTTTTTATTGTGATCATCCTCACACTCTCCTGACAGTGAAATCAAATTTAATTCAGTGAAAAGAGTACCCCTAACTGGAAAAACAAAGGTCTAATCAGGCACATGAACCATGGACCCTATTCTCCAAGCCCATGATTGTGCAGGCAAAGGTGTTATAAGAGTTCCTAGAATCTCATGAGTTCCCAAAACATTTTTGTATGCTCAATCCATGGCTTCCATGTACCTTAGCCCCCTTGTTAGCACCTCTTAATAGGCGCTGATGTTTTTTTGAGTGTACTCCCAGAAAACATGATGACGTTTGTTTTTTCTCCTCAAAACTTACTATTATGAAACCAAAGTGAGGGCCATTTAATGAAACACCTCATACAACTTTCTGTACCT